TTAGATAAGCAAGGAACCATTTGATTCTGTAGATTTTGTCTCAGAAAATGAACCGCTTGTACTTTTGGAACGTTATGAAAAAAGATCAAACTAAAACAAATTGGAATTACCATAATATGCTATACAGTGTCAAAAGGTCTCCAAACTTTTTTGTCTTGTAGACCGTTTGCCACATGTTTTGGTTTTCGATGGACCTCTACTTAACTAATGGTGCATTTTTGAAAATTCATTAACTTCAAATGTGTTTTGACCGATTTTTAATTGTAGTGAAGTGTATAAGACAAAAAAAAAAACAAAAAACAATAGAAAAACAATAAAAACTAATAAAAATCAATAAAAATTTATAAAAATCAATAAAAATCAATAAAAATCAATAAAAATTAATAAAAATTAATAAAAATCAATAAAAATCAATAAAAATCAATAAAAATCAATAAAAATCAATAAAATCAATAAAAATCAATAAAAATCAATAAAAACCAATAAAAACCAATAAAAATCAATAAAAATCAATAAAAATCAATAAAAATTAATAAAAATTAATAAAAATCAATAAAAATCAATAAAAAAACAATAAAAATCAATAAAAACCAATAAAAATCAATAAAAATCAATAAAAATCAATAAAAACCAATAAAAATCAATAAAAATCAATAAAAATCAATAAAAATTAATAAAAATTAATAAAAATCAATAAAAATCAATAAAAAACAATAAAAATCAATAAAAACCAATAAAAATCAATAAAAATCAATAAAAATCAATAAAAATCAATAAAAATCAATAAAAATCAATAAAAATCAATAAAAATCAATAAAAATCAATAAAAATCAATAAAAATCAATAAAAATCAATAAAAATCAATAAAAATCAATAAAAATTAATAAAAATCAATAAAAATAAATAAAAATAAATAAAAATCAATAAAAATCAATAAAAATCAATAAAAATCAATAAAAACCAATAAAAATCAATAGAAATCAATAAAAATCAATAAAAATCAATAAAAATCAATAAAAATCAATAAAAATCAATAAAAAACAATAGGTAATAAAAACAAAAAATAAAAAACAATTAAAAGCAATAAAATCATCTAAACTATCATTTAAAAATAGAGAAAAATAGAGAAAAATAGAAAAAAATAGAGAAAAATAGAGAAAATAGAGAAAATAGAGAAAAATAGAGAAAAATAGAGAAAAATAGAGAAAAATAGAGAAAAATAGAGAAAAATAGAAAAAAATAGAGAAAAATAGAAAAAAATAGAGAAAAATAGAGAAAAATAGAGAATAGAGAAAAATAGAGAATAGAGAAAAATAGAGAATAGAAAAAAAAAAGAGAAAATAGAGAAAAATAGAGAAAAATAGAGAAAAATAGAGAAAAATAGAGAAAAATAGAGAAAAATAGAGAAAACAGAATCAAACGTGTTGATAAAATTGATGAATCGCAGAGCAGTATCATCAGCATATAGATGACATTTTGACAATGGGTGGTTTGGAGGTGGTATGTTGAGTATATGTCAATTTGCAGCATAGGAGAGGGATCAGAACGGAACTGTGAAGTTCTCCAGCAAGTGAAGTAAATGTATTTACCAGGGCGTTGCCTATTTGGACTGTATTGGACGTTTCAGTGAGGTAGAAGTAAATTAGTTTAAAGATATTGAAGGAAAGACCTATCTTTATAAGCATTTAAACTAATCAGGTATCATAGGACATACACAGAATAAGCAAGAAAGGCAATAAATCTGGTATTGTAATGCAACTAACATAACAGGACACACAATCTTCTATTGCCTAAGATGAAACATAGAAAGGGATCAAACAAACAGCAAATGCGAAGTAAATATCACAAATGACAACATATCAGAGCTGATGCTTTAGGATAAGGAAACATGGAACAACTAAACTGTCAAAGAAAGAAAATGATGAAAGGATACCATAAGACACAATTAAGATCACCTAATCAAACAGAAAAAACGGGTGGTTTAAGTGGGTATTGGGCTTGAACATTCCACCCAAGAGTCCCACACTATCAGGCACCTGAGGTCCATAAAGGATTTTTATTCAAACGGAATATAAAAACCGACATGCCAGACTTAATCAAAGGACTTTTGAACATCAAGAAGAACGGTTAAAGATGTTTGGAGGGAGTTAATAGCATGACAGCAGTTGTATGAAGAGAAGAGATTGCGTCCAAAGTGGATTGATACCATATTGGTATCCAGGAATGATGTGTACCTCTTAAAAAAAGTCTCAAATTCTTTCATTGAGCAGTACCGATGACTGATATCAGTGAGACATATCAATATAACTCCATGGATTTGGGATATTTATCTGGTTTGGGAATACGAATGATATTTGAGGATTTCTAGGCAAGCAAGTAAGAAAAGAAAGAGCAGGTATTGAGAAATAGAACCAGGATAGAAAACAGGATTCCAGGTAGATGTTTCAGCGTTCTTCTATGATGGAGTTGTCGATATCCATTGGTGGGACTGAAGCGGAAAACGTCTAATGGACATTGAGTTCGTTCTCGTGCCAGTAATGGTCGTGAAAGTAGGAGTTATGGAGGGTTCTGAAGATGGCTTCGAGGTGTGTCTTGTATGATAGAGATTTTTCGTCGGGAGTAACGCGTATTTACACTTGGGAGTGGTTTTTGGATTTGTTACCCGTAATAAGTTAGAATTTGTCCCAAAATTTGTCGTTTAGTTGTTATGTAAGTTTATTTAGAGCCTGCTCAAGGCGTTGAGATGGTTCCATTTAGTTTTGTTAACAGGTTTGAGGGTTCAGGCAAATTGTCTAGGCAATCGGAGTTTTTGGCGATTGAGACTTAAGATAAATTATTGTTGGAGTACTTCTTGGGCTGTAGTAATAGAAGTATTTGGGCTTCAGGTTTCGACGGTGGAAGTGAGTTTGGACGTCGAAGTATTTTGGGAATGTTTGCAGAGATATTTGTCTGAAATAATTGTCAATCGACTTTTTTGAGGTTATTGAAGGTGTATATTGTGTTTTATAGTAAAACGGATTGTGAGATGTGGTAAAACGAAGAAAAATATAATTGTGTAATATCAACGTAAGATGATCGACAGTAAGACTTCCTGATACAGCATCTGTAGGTGACCAGTCCAATACAGGAGTCTCTAAGAAGGAAACAGTTGCTCCCTGATAAAACAAGAAAGTCGGAAGATTGAGGCCCTGTCTAGTCAATAAGCGTTTGGATTTGAGGGGTGATCTAAGATGGTTAAGATTTGGCCTAAGATTTGGCCTAAGTGGTTGCAATGGATTGTCGATTGGTAGGTCAATTACAATTAAATCAAGATCAGCTAGATGATGGAGGGTTGAATTTTGAAAAAAGTGGCAACCACGCTTGCTTCTCATTTAATACCGAATAGTCTAGTATCTCGAATATAACTGAATTAACTGAATTAACGTTATTATTATTGTTGTTTTAATATTTTAGACTTAGATAACTATTTAAAAATACGTTTTGAATACGAATATCAGTATTTCAATTATTAAACGTTTTAAAAGAGTCCTCCCTGTAGACAAAAGGCGGAATCAAATGAACATATCGAAGCAACAGTTGCCGCCGCATGCACCTGAGTGTAATAAAGATGGATATTAAAACGGCGCTCTCGAGTCACAATCTAAATTAATTAGCAATCCTGAAATTACAAAAGACGTTGCTTCTCCGTTCAAGTAATTCGATTCATAATAACGAGGCTCGATTACAAGACAAAAAGGATTTCAAGTTTGTTTTAATTGGGAGGGGACTCTTACTGGGTCGATTTTAATAACCAATCCTATACATTTTTTGAAAATGCCTCTCTGCATGGATTTTTTATTGTAAGTGACAGCCGAATGACGTTTTACATTGAATGCTGTTAGTCTCATACGATTCAGACCAATATAATGAAGATATACGTTAATGCCCTTTTAGCGATACTACTGGGCATGTTCATAAGACATTTTCTTCGTCGATGATCCCACGTCTTTCTTCGTTTTGAAATACATCGTTGGTTCTATTACTCCTATATGTCTTAAAAATAATTTGATTGTCATACGTCACTTCTTCAGCTGCTTTTCTTTGTCTACAAGTCTCCAGAGGCTTATTCAACGTCTCCTGTGGTCCTATGTCACTCCTTGAGTTCCTGTTCTTCGTCTTCGAGTCTCCAGAGGCTTCTTCGACATCTTCCCTGCTACGTCACTGCTTTAGTCCCTCTTATTCTTCTTCGAGTCTCCAGAGGCTTCTAAAACGTCTTCTTCAACCAAAGATGAACCATCTTTACTCCTTCAACTCCTCTTTTTCAACGTATCCTTTAACCAAATTGGTCCTACGCCACTGCTTTATCTTATATTTTTCGTCTTCGAGTTTCCAAAGGCTTCTTCAACTCTTCTGACCAAAGAACTCGATGAACACCTGTTACCACAATGATCTAATGTCCTCCTATCTCATTTACTATTCACGTTTTTATTGTTTACTAACCATGCCTTCTATTTTATTTATTTAGAGAGCTTTCTGAAGGTCCGAATCAACAACAATCAGAAACCAGTCACTGTTACCAGGATTCTGCACAGTAGATAATTTGACGGCCCCAATAATGTACGGCGCAGAATCCTGGTGTCAGTGACAGGTTTCTTATCGTTATTGGAATATACCTTGAGTTTACAATGAAGGATAACAGGTAAATTGATTACTGACGAAAGAGACATTGATAATCCACCAAGCATGACCAGGCTTGACCCTTAATGCTTTTTTGTTTCTCTCAAACAACATTTTACATTCTACACTGTGCCCTCTTTATTTAAGGCCTACAGCGAAGCCTTCTTTAGCAGAGAGTAATGACACCAATAAGGGGTTCGAAATGTTGATTACCAAGACGACAATTTTTAAGATATTCATAAAAAATTTTGATGACACTTAAAAAAATAAATCTTGTTGATCTCCGATATGTTGAATTGGTTTTAAAAGAATTTACTGGTATATGAAGGGATAAAGTATCTTACCGCTATTCGACTTGACGTCGTCGGGCCTGTGCAGGTCCGGCTTCGAGGCCAACATAGAAAGGGGATGTTGAGCTGGAAGGGCCCCGGAAAGGCCCAACAAACTGGCTGCGCTGCTAGGCGGCGCGCCGCCCAAACTAGGGTGAGGCATCATCGGTATAGGTGGCGCTGCGTGCGTCGGTAGTTGCTGAGCGTGCATTTGTTGCAGTAACCTCGGCAGATCCGGCCTTTGTTGCTGAAACAAAAAAAACAGAGATAAAAAAATCGTCTATAGATTTTAGAAGCAAGCTGTAATCAACATCTTTTATATTAATAATAAATAACAATGGGTCAAGGAGGGATCCTTGACATTCTCTCTATGATCCTAAATTAACCGAATTTATGGTGAAACAAGTGGTTGTGAGCCCTCAGTTTAAGAGTTTTTGTAATAATAGTCTGTTTCTACAAAGTTTTTAAAAGTCAGGAAAAATATACTTAAATGATAAAATAATTGTAGACATATTTGTAGTGTCTTGCACATGCCAATCTTATTTTCTGTGACAGCCTACTAAAGTTTACCTGGAGCCGAAAGTATTTATTTGTATATTGCATTATTTTTGTTATTATAAATTTACATATAGGTATTAAAATTGCTTCAAAGTACAATCTGGAAGATTCCATTGTATCTTTCAGCATTTTTACCTGTCTTTAATTGTCCAGGGCTTCTGTAATATTTAAGACTAAATTATTAATCGTAAATGAAAGATATTCCAATTTTCGTTACTTCAAACCTTTACTATAATAAAGAGGATAAAGAAAACAGAGTGCCAGAAATAGCAATAAGCTCTTTAACTAGTTTCCACATGCAACTGGAAAACAATAACCCATCGAACGTTCAATACAACAAATAAAAATCTCTCTCGAAACGTAAAAATGTCGTTAAAGGATTCTAAAAGGACGAAGCGTTGCAAACAAAAATACCGACGGAACAAAAAAATGATCGGCAATGACGACGAAATCAGTGCATTTCCAGTAGAAATAGTTTTTTTTTTATTTATTTTTCGACTGAGAGGCTAGGATTCGCGATAATTGCACTATAAAACAGCGAATAAAATTCAAAAGGGTAACTCGAAAAGAACAAAAACTGCCACTCAATTTTTAATCCGTTTGTTCGAATGGACACTGGCACTGTATTTGTGACAAAATTGCAATCTAGATGGACGAAACAAGATACAGTTTTTTAATTATATCTCAAAACTGTAAATAACAGTAATTTAAGAATAGGCAAGTAAGCAGATATCCGGTAATTGTATAAAGAATAGATCTAAGAAAATATAATTCTGAATTTCAAGTAACTAAGGCGAATAAACCATAAAATAAATACTATTCTTTTAAAAAATCCTTTTTATAAATAAGTAAAATGTTCCCATTGACTAAAAGACTGTAGAGGAAAAAAGATTTACATATGAGACGTCGTTAGAAGTAAAAAATCACAAGTTATAAGTTATTCAAGAAAATCAAAACCGCAAGTCAATCGAATCTTTCTTTATAGAGTTATCGTGCCGGCACACATACGCCCCATAAGAAGGGCCTCAGTAAAATGGATTCATAGGAAAGGAAAATAGGGGAACAGATTAAACAGAATAAGGAAGTAATGGGTAATGGGTATAATATAAAAGAAGAAATCCAAACATTTAGACAAGATAATAAAAAATTAGAAAAACAGAAGAAATTCTAAAAAACAACATTGAAGAAACAAAGAAAAGGAATGAAATTAGAAGAAAACTAAAGAAATTGAAAGTAAAAAGTTAAAAGAAATACAAGACAAAGAAGAAAAGGTAGAAATAAAAAAGCTAAACACAGAAATTGAAAAGAAAGAAGTTAATGAAGAAAAAGAAGTTAATGCAGATAATCAGGTGCAAAATATAAAATAGAAAGAAATATGAAGAAAGAAAAATAATTGAAGAAGTAATAAAAAAGTGAGAAATAAAATTAAAGAAAATAGAAAACAAACTACAGAGAAAATTAGAAGATAAGAATAAGAAAAAAAAGTGTAGTAGGAGAAAAAAGAAAAATAAAGGTAGGTATTATAAAGAATAAAAATAAAATAAGGGTAAAATTGAAATAGACAAAATTGAAATAGAAGCAATATAAAAGTGGAAAAGGGAGATTAAAATAAAATTAAAATAGATAAATAAAATGGGAATAAAATTAAAATAGAAGCGAAAGTGAAACGGAAAAAAGGATAGGTAACAATGTTTGAAAAGAAGAATCTGGGGTTAACAGAAAAGGAAAGAGTGAGGATGAAGGTGAAAGAAAAGGAATATTGACTAGAATCTAGTAAAGACACCAGAGCAGTAAATACAGTAATGGGAATTAGATGACGAAGATAGTAAAGATTTTATGTATACAGTGTGTCCGAAATTTGTTGATGCATGTATTGCGATCTCCGAAACTGTTAGCTGTTGGGTGCTAACAAACAGTATGGACTCGAATTAATAGGATTTTATTCCTATCATTCCATCAGAAATATTAATCAGAAAAATAATGTTATTTGCCTAGAAGTCGCTCCTTTTGATGGTAGCAGGGTAGTATTAAATAATTCAATGCCGTTTAGTTTCAGATTTTTCTCTTTTGGTTTTCGAGATATTTTGAAAAAACTAAAATGACGCATTTCCGAAAATACCCTGTATTTTCTTTATTTATGAAAATTTCTTAAAAGAACTTTTTTGGAGCAACTTTTTACGTAAAAAACGCCTGTGTCGTTAGATGTTATGTGCAACGTTTCGGTTTCTTGGAACCATCATCAACTTTGTTTTTTCATCATCACTTAGTTTCGGAGATCGCAATACATGCATCACCAATTTCGGACACACTGTATAAGAAGAATAGTGTAGAGAAATATGTGTTTAGAAGTAAAACTATAAAGAATATCAATAGTTAATGGTTTAAGATGATAAAGGTGGAAATAAAAGGAAAAAGGCGGTATAATAAATAATATGAATATAGCAATACAAATGTAGGTAGAATGATGTAAATAGTATGATAAAAAATATGAAAAAATTAAATAGCAAGAAAAATAAAAAAAAAAATAAATAATGATATGCATAAAATGAATAAGTTGCAAAGTAAGAACAATATTAGATAAAAATTTAATAAGGTGCGAAAATTGGTATCTTAATACAAAATTTTTATAAAAGGATGAATGTTGTATAGTAAACAATATCAAACGTTTTCGAAAATTGAGGTTGATTTGTAAAATTTTCTATATTTGTAGAATTTGTTTGAAACTTAAATATCTAAGATATGATTCAATTCGATGTTCATGGCTACTTGATCCAAATATTTGATACAATACTACAACTTTTTGTGAAGAGTATTATAGGTTTACTTTTAAGGAAATACAATTTTTAATATTGATCCAAATTTAAAAATGTTTGTACCAAAATCTTTTTTATCAAAATTTAACCAACTTTTAAAAATATAATACAGAATTCTAAGCATTATATATTTTTATTTTAGTTATTTTTTCTTGTTTGTTTGATTTGGAAGATAAAATACTGTTAAAAGGAAAATTAAATAAATTTTCAATAATAAGACGACTAAGTTACACTTTCATCTTTAATTTAACTGAAAATTTGATTTTTAAATACTATATACAAGGTAACCCAATCCCGTGACTCAATAGCCATAGCTTAAGATCGTATTTCCAGGAAAGTCCAAAATTTAAAAAAATAAACAATGTCACCATAACCATTTAACATATGAAATTAAACCTAAAATTACGAAAACGTCAAAAAATAAACAATGTCGCCATAACAAAACAATTACATAGCCTACCAGATTGATTTACTGTTAAATTTAATATTAGGGTTCGATTACAATAATAACACAGCTACGTCATTATTTGGCGAGGTAATGTATTAGCTATCGCCGTTCACTGGTGATTTAGTGCCGTGTTAACATTATATGAATATAGGAAAGATTTTTTTTTACCCAATTATATACTTATTTCTTATTTATTGTTAATACTATATAATATATACAGTACTTATTATTTTGTATTAGGCATAGCCGTGCTTTCACAGCGAATATGTGGCAACTACGATATCCCCAATATCGCTATGCTCTCTAGCTTTGCACCTTTCATAATTCACCACCCACTATATCTTTTGTTGTCATTTTATTAACTTGTTTACTAGTCGTATGCCTATCACGAAAAAATAAGCACTGTATTTGAAATTAGAAATAATGTATTGACATATCGGTGTTCTTCTTATTATAATAGGATCCTACCCAAAACCAGTGGCGGCTCGTGGGCATTATCGGCAGTGGGGCACACACTGAAAAGGAATCCCGGGATTCGTTTTTCCCTTAGGAAAACAAGTTCTCCGCTTAATGAAAATTAAATATATTTCAAAACAAATTAAATATTACAAAATTGAAGACTAACTGCTAGGTACCGCTGCAGTTGTATACTATTTCTTATAGTTGAAGTTCATTCTTCTGGATTTTTGGCTAGCGAAGTGATCGATGACCAGATTATTAAAATTTGGAATGGACCGAATAAGTTTTTTTTCGATGGATAACATGGCTAACGCGCACAATCTATCTTGGCACATAGTGTTCCTTGAAAATGTTTTAATACGTTTTAGTATCGAAAAACATCTTTCACTCTCCACTGTGGTCATGGGATTTGTACACAGGATAGTTAGCAGCTCCACAGATTCCGAAAATGTAATTGTCAAGTTGATCTCAAAAAACATTTGTAATAACGGTACGGCCCCATTGTGTTGCACAAAGTCATCTCGGGTGTAAAGTATGGACAGTTCGTTTTTGAATTTTAAGCTGTTTACGTTTGGAAATAAACTACACACAGTTTTAACGTCCTCATTTGGAAAACAACCTCGGTAGTCTATAAATTTTTCACTATCAAATTAACTTGCAATTGTTAGGTGGGTAGTAAAACTAAAACGTTCACTTACCTGCACTACTATTATATCACAAACTTCCTTATATTTTAAATTAGGAATGGGGTCCTCCTTTTCAACAAACCGTCTCTTCTTGCTTGTACTTGGAACTGATTACGTGTTGTCGTTTAAGTTTAGTTCTTGTGGGTCTTGTTGTGATTGCCATTCTTCATTAATTAGCGTGTCTTATATTATTTCTAATATTTTGAATAGCTGCTGCAAAATTTGATATGTTTATCTTAACCTTGAGAGCATCGATCTGTCTACTCTGCAGTTGATCAATAAG